TTAAAGTTGTTGGAAGTATTAATGATATAACTTATACAAAATCATTCAGGCAAAAAGAAAAAACCCATACGGTACAAGTTACCTGTTATCATGTTCATCTTTTTGGGGGAGAGGATGGAGGGAGTTTTCCCAACATAAAAATCACCCCTCCATTATTATAATTATTTCTAAATAGTAATAGACGACTTCTTTTCTTGCTGGATCACTTTTGGGAGAGAGTAAAAGTAGGATTTAAGAATACAAATTGGCAGGACCACCAGGTATATGTCTGTGCTCTTCGTTCACATCCATTTTCTTAAAGACTTCTCTGTTTACTATGTGAAGACAATGATTGATGAGAGGAAAAATATAGACGTTGTGTTTTCCTAATATTTAAAAGTTCACTTCATTGACATCTTCTGTTCTTGAGAATAGAATATATCTTGCTTTATCCGTCTACCTTCTGCTAAGGTGTGAATTCTCATGGCAAAGAATCTTCCTTATTAAAGAAAAATTAAAAAACCAAAAAAAAAACTGGAAAAAGTAAAGGCCTGAAGAAGTTACATTGACCTCAGTGGCCTGCATGAGAAGGGACATAATAAATAGCCACAGTGACACAACAGAGACCCTCATCATAGAGTGGAAATGGGACATACCATCATGGAGTACCCCCATCCCCTAAGCGTCTGGGCGCTGTTTCGTTTTGGGAAAATCAAGCCAAAGTCATCTCTGCCCTGGGTACAGCCACCTGTTGGTCCTCTCCAGCCCTTCACCCATGCAGCAGGCCACTGTGGCTGAGCTTTGATTTAGCAGGTACACCCGAGAGATCCTTAAAAAAAAATGAACATCAGCCACAGGAAGACTTTGATCCCTCGATTTACCTGACTTGTAACAACATTTATTTTCTTTAATGTTTTAGAAAATGAAATTTCAAAGCCAACGTCTGCTCAATTCAATTAAATTTAGGATAGGAATAGGACATTGCCTTTGCCAAATGAGCCAAAAAAGAAATGATGACGACAGAGAAAGAAACACAGGAATGGCAATGAGTCTGCGGCTTTTTAAAAAAAAAATCTAAAAGCACATCAGATACGAAATTGTATGTGAATAAAGGAACTGAGTATGAAATGCATAAAAGGGCACAGAATTTTAAATTCTAAAGAAAATGGGGTCAGCAAGGAAAAGGTGTATGAAAAAAAAAAGGAAACTGATGAAAAAATTGAAAAGGAATAAGGACAGAGGTGGGCAACCTGGATACTGTTCATGTACATAGGTCATCCTTAACCTTCCTTAATCTTTAAGTGATGGAATAAGAAGCATGACACCTAGAATTGGACATGCAACAGATTGAACATGGGATAGAACATTGCCAACATTGTTGTATAATAATACAGGGTTTGGAATGAAGTTTTTTTAACTTTCTTAATTTGATGTAATTAGTTCAAGGCAAAACGTTTCCTATTTTCATGCTGATGTTTATTTGAAGTTTGGATGCATATAACTATTAAAATGAAAGACCTCACATTTGGATTCAAATAGCTGTATGGAAATGTGGGAACAATCAATATGGATAAGCCTAGAGGCCAATACAGAATTAAGGATGAGCCACCAAAACGTTCCCTTTTCTCCAGCAAAGGGGAGCTCTAATTCCCAGGCTTCATTTGCACAGGCTGTTATTCACAGATGAATAAAGTGTGCCACTTTGTTAGTCGCCCCCTGGGTCCATAGCACGTAAGCGAAGCGCAGGGAGGAAATGGTCCAAGAACCATTGGCATCTAACCCATGATACATTATGTTACTAAATATCTGGCATGGCAGTTGGCTAAACCCCATCAGCCAGTTGCCAAATGTCATTTAACAAAGCAGTCCCCATCCAGGACCTCTATGTGACTATACTGATAATATTATCACTGGAGGTGAAGAGACACATTCCCTAAAGCAACTCATCATTAGAAATAAACATGGCAGCTCACCAAGCAGCATAAGCAACATGAAGAAATTGAAGGAGAGCTTTTAAATAAGCCAGCGTGTTTGTGTGGGCTTGCGTGTGTGTGAATGAATGTGTCTTTACTCCATCAAGGGAGAGAGATGATGTATTTTTTTTTCTCTTAACTGCCTAAATTAGGAACTTGGCTTCTCCAGCATCATAAACCAAACAAATACTTATTCTTGCCAGCAGCTCTCACATCACAGTGTCCGAGGCTACTTGGGTATAATGCTTCCTTCTAACTGTTTGGGGGAAAACTGAGTGAAGATTTATCTTCAGCCTGGCTTCTTGACAAGTAGAAATATCCTTTGTCACTCTGCCAAGCATGAAGTCAAACATGATATTTTAAAGAGAAAGTGAAAGAGTTGCTCTGATGAACTTTAATCTTCCTACTCTACAAGGACTTTTTGGAGCAATCACACACACACACACACACACACACACACACTCACACACACACACACACTCACACACACTCACACACAACTATCAACCCTGTTACCACCATATCCCGTTTATACTTCTGACGCAGATCTTTCTCTTCAACTCCTAATTCATTTCTATTATTAGGCACTTCAAAATGAAATGTGGCCAAAATTGGGCTCATTGTCTCTCTTCTCTTGGAAATGTCTATCATTCTGGCTTATGAATGGTATGCATATGAATCTATTCTCAATCCAGCCAAGATCCTGAATCACTAGAGGTTCCTCTGTCTCCCTCACCCTTCAAATATGTTCCATTAAAAACCCATGTTTCCCCAAACACAGCAAATTATAAGTTAAAAACATGGGCAGGTATTTTTTTTTTCTGTAGAGCAATTATACCTCAATAAAGCAATTTAAAATAATGTTGATTTTTATCTGCAAAATAATTCTCTTTTTGGTGCTCTGTCAGCTCATCGGTCACTGCCCTGGCCTGGCCTCAGAACTTTCCGGGTGGTGGCAATAAACACACCTGGATTTCCTCATGAGTCTTCCTGCAGTCTAATCTGTCCTCTACCTTGTTTCTGAACGGGACTTTCAATAAACACCTCTGGCCACATCTAACCACTTCAGGCCCTTCAGTGAACAAGAAAAGGACAGATCCTTTGTAGAACTCTGATGTCAATTCTGCCAATCTATGAAGCAGTGAGATTCTCGTAATGAGAACTCCACTACGATTTTATGAATTGAATCAATTGATGCCGACATCTATGTGGAGTAATAAAAGCTGCAGAAAATTTTGAAAGAGTGTTAGGAGAGGCACAACCTATCTGGCAGTAGAAAGGTTTACAAAACTGCTATCAAAACAACTCAATATAGGAAAAGACAGCAGATAGAAGAACATAACTAAACATCCACAAGTAGACCATGAAATACAGAAGAGCTTAGCATATGACCAAGATTGTATTTCAATTCAGTAGGGGAAAAGGTAGTTAATTTAATAAATAGTGTTGACCCAGTGGGCTATTTTGTTAGAAGGAAATTAAATTGGATCCCTTACTTACATTATATGTAAAAGTAAATACCACTTGCATTAGGTACTCAGATTTAATATAGAAAAAAACACAAAATCTTGCAAGGATATCTAAGCAATCACAGG